GTGCACTACAAAATGAATGTTAATTCATTACTTGTGAAGTCATAGGGTTATAATTAACCCACCCCCTTAAAAACATTAATGAAGCCATTCAACTTTCATCTAACAAAATATTTGCCTCTATGGTACGTAACTTCAGTTTCTCTTTCAATTAAGACAATTGTCACAATATAATATGGAATCTCTTCTTCAATTCAGCTATGGTATCTGCATTGGATGATGCTGTTGGGTCCATTGTGCAAACACTTAAAGATAAGAAAATGTTTGGAAACTCCATAATTGTTTTCACAACAGACAATGGTGGTCCAGCTAATGGGTTTGATGGTAATGCTGCCAGCAACTATCCTCTAAGGTAAAATAAGAAGCAAACATCTATCAAATTCTTGTTTAATTTTTTTTTTAAAACAAAAATCAGGACACCAACCAGAATAAGTAATTTTAAGTAAAATTGAGCCATGAGGAATCTTAAGGTTGATTTTCTCCAAAGAGAGATCTTTATTTTTAATTAGCAGGAAAGAATGAAAAATTGCCAAGCCATGATAAAATGCTTTATTTGCTAGAGGTGTCAAGGCCACACTATGGGAGGGAGGTGTGCGAGGAGCTGGCTTCATATCCAGTCCACTGTTAAAGTCCAAAGGTTATGTGTCTAATCAGATGATTCACGTGACAGACTGGTTACCAACTCTGTACACAGCTGCAGGGGGCCACGCAGGGGATCTCAAGAATCTCTATGGAGTAGACCAGTGGCAAGTATTACAGACTAATGGCAAGCCAGTCAGGAATGAACTGCTGCATAACATAGACCCACTGGATAAAACAGGGGCTATAAGAGTGGGCGATTACAAACTTATATATGGTCCTGTAATGGGCTGGGATGGTTGGTATCCCCCATACCAAGTCTCTACAGACTCTAACAATAATAACAAGTTGAGAATTGACATTTCTCAACAAAATAGTAGAAAGAGACTTGTACAAGAAATGGAGTTTGAACCTCAGTCATTTAATCCCATTCATGGAACACCAGTAACAATTCAGTGTGGAACCAAGCCTTCCAATGCCAGTACAAACTGTCAGGCAAATAAAGTTCCATGTTTGTATCATATACCCTCAGATCCTTGTGAATACAACAACATAGCAGCTAGTCATATGGATATTGTGTCTAAACTGATGGACAAAATTAAATTGTATGAGAAAACCATGATGATACCTCCTGGAAATAAGCCATTTGACCCAGAAGGAAACCCATGTAAACATGGAGGCATATGGAAGCCATGGCTAGATTAATAGCAAGGCAGACTAATTAATTCAGAAATACGATTTTGATGCCGAAGAATAAGAAATCATTTTCAGCGACTTGACTTTTCCATTTTTAACTTTAACATCTATAAATTAATTACATTTTGGAGACTTAAAACTAACAACACTGCCTTAGAGTTATTTCTGAATTTGAACTTAATGAGATCATGTCTGTTCTTTTACTTAAAAATGAATTTTTTTTTTTTTTGCTTATCATACTGTTTTTTTTTTTTTTTCTTTTTTTTAAGAAATTGTTCCGAGGTTTTGAATTTAATGTGTGCATTTCTTAAGCCTCTGAGCTTTTAAACTTGCATTTAATGATTGTAATTGTACTTACTTGCTGCCTGTGATGGTGTATAGGGCAGTAACGAGGGTATATTGTACTTACTTATACATATAATTGTTCAGTGTTTTTAGAATCTTAATATGTTTAAGGATGTACAACACACCCACCCCCCAAAAATTCCTGCTGTTTATTTTTTTTTTTTTAATTTTTGTGTATTTTATACATGACAATATCTACTATGTGTATGCACAATGTGGACAAAATCATTTGAGTCATATTTGGACCGGAAGTTCCAAAAGTTACCCCCCTTTAGCTGTTCACGAGGAGAAGAAATTTTCAATCAACCAACTAAAAAATTCCTGATTTTCAAAAACTTCTGGATTGCCTGTCTGTCAAACTTCATCGACTAATTTGTTTGACCATTAAACACATAAGTAAAGTAATTTTGTAGAAGTAAAATTCGACACAGATTTTTTTGAAGACCTTAAACTGAAAAACTATGGTTCATCTTAGCCTTGAAAAATGCATATTTTTCAATTTAAATAATTTATTTTTTATGAAAAAACCTATCATTTAATTTTAGAATAAATACTTTATTTATGTAGTTGGTTGCAAAAATAATCTCCATAATTTTTTGTAAATTTTTTAAACGACTTGTTTTGAATTTATAGCGGAAAATCACCCCCTCTGCCTTTCTCCCTAAATCACGTTTCTCAAGCATCTTTCAGACTTGGGACGATCAAATGCTATGAATTTACAAATATACATAAAAAATTCCAAGTTGGAATATATCTTTTGCTTTAAAAATGATATTTACATTTAATTTTATCAGAGTTTTCAAATGTAAAGTGCATTTAAATGTAGATCTATATACAATTTTTACTACGACCCCCCCCCCCCCCCCCCCTTCTCCTTTACTTTTTTTTGTGACACAGACTATTTCAAGCTTGATGAAACATTGGATACATTGCAGACATATATAGTCCATTGAATTCCTGAAGTACTAATTTGCTAATTTGTGTATGCATATTAAATATTGACTACTAGTATGTTTTGTATTTAAGTAAAACTTGCTTAGGATTTTATGCCCACGTGTTAGGTAACTGTATGTAGTCCATACATATGAATTCATATTTCATACCTGGATATGAAATTCAACCGACATTGAAATTTACTCATATTTAATGAATTTTAATTTTATTTATTGCTAAAAGTAAACCCACAATGGTGTATGTTCAACTCTTCTGTGATATAAATGGAATATTTATTGTTTCTTAATAACAATTTTCAAACTTAAGGGAGGGAAAACATTTTTAGAGTTGTTCCTCTTTGATCAGTGAGCTTCTGAGAACAGTATCGATAATTACATTGTAAAATATGTTTTTTTTTTCTTACTTGTTTGTTTGTTTTTTTATATATATAAAAGAAGAACAAAACAATATTTATTTGCTGAATACATAATTTTAAGATAGACCTGTAATCAGAATGTTATGTAGCCAACTGTTACGGGAAAAAAACAATGCAACATAAAAAATTTTCAGATGAAGAATGCTGTGCTTTGATCACGGATACCATTTACACAATATGAAATTAAAGAAATTTCATTTCTTCCTTTTCATAGGGGGGAGGGGTTTAATTAAAAAAAAAATCAAAGATAGAATTCGCTACTCATAAAGGAATCAAAATCAAGTCCCTAATCCCATTTTTCTGTTTTTACTTAATTCATCGGGATCGCATCACTCATCATTTTGACGCTTTATTATTAACGTCACAATAAATGTTTAATTCAAATCGCAAGAGTTATCTCCCCCACTGTGTTGTACGTCTTTAACTGCAATACAATGTACATTATGCTTATTATTATATTCTATACATTACTGCTGGAAAGTCTTTTTCAGGTCTTGTGGAAATGCATTATAGCTGTATTTTTATATTGTTTTCTGTTCAAATACTTTGTTATTGCTTTTTAGCTCACCTGAGTGGGATGCTCAAGTGAACTTTTCTGATCGAAGTTTGTCCATCATGCATCTATCTTTCTGTTAACTTTTCACATTTCTGATTTCTCAAACTTCAATCAAACTTGGCACAAAGCATCTTGGGTAAATGGGATTAAAAATTGTTCAAGTGAAAGGCCATACTCCCTTAAAAGGGTAAATAATCAAGAAAAGGCATGAATGTGGCGGGGTCAGGATGGGGCTACAAGGGATCAAATTTTTACATTGGAATATATAGGGAAAATATTTTTAATAATTTTCTTCACAAGAACAGCAAGGCCATGATAATTGATATTAATATGCAAGCATCCTTGGCAGATACAAATCATGGTTCCTGGGAGTAGGGGTCATCAAAATTTGGGGGGGGGGGTTACATGGCAATATATAGGGAAAAAAATCTTTTTCTCCAGAAAAGGAGGTCTTGTTTAGTCATATATGCAAGCATTCTCAGATAGAGCACATTCAAGTTCAAATTGTGCCCTCCTAAGATAGGGGAATAAATAGGGAAAAATCTTTAAAAATCTTCTTTTTAATTAAGAACAGCAAGGCCATTTTGTGATATAAATATGAAAGCATCCTCAGGTAGTGCAGATTCAGGTTTCTTCAAATCATGGTCTGCAGGGGTAGAGTGGAGCCTAGCAGGTGGTGAGAGTTTCACACTGGATTTTAGAGAAAAACAATTTTTGAAGTGTTCCTCTCAAGAACAGCTAGATCTAGACCATGATTAGTCATAGATCAATGCAAGCATCCTCAGGTAGTGCAGAATCAAGTTGCTTCAAATCATTCATAATATGGGGCAAAATCTCTCATGGGGGAAAAAATCTAATGCAAAAAAGGACCAAGGTTAATCAGTGAGCATTGTGGCCCATGAGCCTCTGGTTTATTTTTTTTTTAATTTACATGTTTATGGAGCTTTTTGTTATTTTTAAAGTGGTATGATGGATATGAAGTAAAATGGAGAAAGAGAGAAAATGTTTTGTTTTTCTATAATTTTGACTTTTCCTTTACATGCATGGATATACACAAACAGATGGGCAGAGTTCATTGATCAAAACTGAGGTATAATTATTTTACTGATATTACATTTCAACTTTAAATATATATTTCTATATAAAAATGAACAGAATATTCTTTTTTGGTCAAGATTTTTTGTTGTTGTTGTTTTTTTTTTTTTGGTCATAAAAATTTTAGCTATAAAATGGGCTACAAGATGCAACATTGTTTCAGTTTGGGAATTGTTTGGAATTGAAGAGTTCAGAACCATTTGTCCATATTCTTTTATTTTCATGTACCAAGATGGGACAGCCTCTTCAGTCTAATTTTTAATTTATTTTTCTCTAATGATTTTAATAGATGAAGTTTAATATGCACTGAACATGCAATTTAAAGGACTCTTAACATAACCATGCAAAACATGAAAAAGAAAAGTATTTATCAAATGTTTATTTAATATATTTTCAGAATATAAATGTCATAAGGAAATTTTACATGCAGAAATTGTTTCATGCTTTCTACAGTTGCATGCATACATTAACAATTATATTATATTTTACACATGCTTGCTCGACTTACCAAATTTGCAATTTTAGTGGGTGAGGAATTTGTTCATATTAATGATTGCCGGAACTGAAAGCATAGCATAATAATACTGTAAGAACATAAGGTAGATAATACCCGTAGGTACAACAAATGTATATAATAACAAGACAATGACACAAACTGAAATCAACAAAATAAACATCATGCAACTAGAATATACCCAAACATTTTTTCTGCATTTTAACTGTCGAGCTCATCAAAAAGCTGGCAATGCTGGAAGAAGGAGTCTTCATTAATCAAAGAGAGGTCAAAAAGAGAATCATCCTCTACCTGATCTTCATCATTGAATGTGGTGTCTGCCAGATTTCCTCCCATTCTCAACACACTATTGAGAAAATCATCAAGGGAACTGTCTTGTGTAAAGTCATTTCCAGAATTAGGAAAGGGGGAGAGCCTTTGGTCATCATACTGAGAGGTTGGGGGGATATTGCAGAAGTTCGGCAGTATGTTACTTTCCCCTAAAATATCATCCCCTTCAAGCAGTCTGTTGTTTTCATATTCATCTGTGTTTTCACAAATAGAGTTTACTGCACTAAACAACTCTTCAGTTTCACTGTTTTCTTCGTCTTCTAATTCTTGTAATGAGAAATGCTCATCAATATACGAGTCCATTGTATCCTCATTTTTATTAACATACAATGTTTCTGAATCTGTGAAAATGGTTTTCATGTTGCCCAACATTTCCTGAGAATGAATTGAGTTGTTTTGTGATAAGTGCATATGTTGGAGACTGGAGCATGGACTACCAGTAAATGATGGAATCACATTGTAGTCACATCTGGATGAGCTTGCTTCATTAGAACATGAATCAATGGAGGAAAAGCATGGGCTGATATTGTGTAGTAATGGGCTGGAAACAAACTCTTTTTCAAAGTCTTGGTTGTCTATTGCTGAAGGTGAATAGTTTGCATACATTAGGTCACTATCACAAAAAGAATTTATCGGTCCACCAGTTGCTGAAATTAAGATTTAATTCAAAACTAAAGAATACAAAATTGCTACCTCTTGTATTTACTGGTTTCAAGTTCCTTTACATATGAAAACCATACATTGTAAGAATTTTTATTATCTAATAGAAACTGGAAATTGTGAAATTAATATTACTGGAAGTTAAAGAAGAAAATTTTTGTTTGAAGACTGTACATACCAGTTAGACAAGCTGAAGGCCAGCTGGAGAGGATTGGGTCACATTGATATACTGGACTCTGTCTCACATCACTGTCCCCTCCCACAGGGGTGGCAGTAAGAGATATCTTAAGTCCATACTGTTTGGCTACCTTTAGAAGTGCCTATTAAAAATATTGAGATCACAGTCTAGATATTTTTTAAGTTGCTGGAAATGATAACCAAATATTTTTTTTTTATCTACATGTAATTGCTAGCCTGGAGGGCAAGTACCATTAGAAAACAGAAAATCAAGCGATCTAAAATGTGCATGCATAGGGGTACTACTAATCAATGCACAATCTATGCAATATCTCTTCTTTTGATGAAAGGCAATGAAAGTTAAGGCCAGAATAACATTGAAAAAAATGTTTGTTTCCCGTCATGTGACCCCCCCCCCCCCAAAAAAAAAAACTTACTGTAGTAAGTTTTCATAAATGTTATTTGAGTTTTGTCTGAAATATAAATTTTGCTTCTTTCCCCAACTTATTCTCAGTTGTTAAAAATCTTCTCAAGAATACTAGAAACAGGGCCATAAAGTCATATTAAGGCTAAGTAAAATGGAAATTAGGGTTCTCAGGCCAATTTTCTTTAAAACAGAGGCTCCCCCCCCCCTTCTATTGGCAATAAATTATATGTGATAGGTATTTTTTATTCCAAAATTTTTCCTTCAAAATCCATTACCTCAATCAATGCTTTTAATAAAACTTCCAATGATTGGTTGAATTAATGTTTCTAAAATCAAGAACCAATGAAATTGCATGTTACATTTAATCAATAAAGTAGGAATAAAGTGAAGCAAAAACAGACAAAAATGGTATAATCAGAAAATACTGAGATACTTAAAAAATGTGAATACGAATTTTAAAGTGGATTGAGCAAATATGAATAGCGGAATTCCGCTTTAAAGTGGAAAAAAAACCATGCTTGTTATATGAAATGGCTACAGGAAATAAAAATCTATATAGGTTTCTGTATTACCAACTTTTTATTTCATTTAAAATACAAAAAAATTATAATTGCTACTTAAAAATGGATGCATGCGGACCTGAGAACTATATTTTTAATTTTGTTTAGCCTAATAAGAATCTTCATGTAGTTTGGATTACAGAATGTTTTTTAGCTCACCTGAGCTGAAAGCTCAAAAGACCTTTTCTGATCACCCATGGAAGCTTCCTGAGGTAGTGTAGATTCTAAGTTGTTCAAATCATGGCCTCCGGGGCTTATCTGGGGCCACAATAAGGAATCAAAGTATTACATGGAAATATATAGGAAAAATCTTTAAAAATCTTACTTGGCCAGAAAAGCTGAAACTTATGTGGAAGCTTTCTGAGGTAGTGTAGATTCTAAATTGTTCAAATTATGACCCCTGGGGCTAGGGTGGGACCACAGTTAGTATTACAAGGGGGAAATCTGGTGAAGAACAGCAGGGCCAAAGTTACTCAGGTAAGCGTTGTGGTCCATGGGCCTCTTGCTTTTCTTAAATTCCCTTAAATATGCAGTTCCCCTTAAATCTCCTTAGTCAGAGCAGTTCATTTCAGCTTTCAATATCTGAGAGAATGCAAATCAACCATATAAGATGCTATATGCCAAAATTGGTTGAAATTGGTTGAGCGGTTCTAGAGAAGAAGTTGAAAATGTTCAAAAGTTAGTCAAGCACTTGACAATTTACAATACCTTAAGATTATTGCAATTGAGACATTTTTTTTACCTGCAAACTGTTGGTAACATTGTGATTCCATGCCTCCTTTGTATCTTCTTTCATTTCTAACAGCTCTCCATTGGATTTGAATTGCAATCGACACATCCCTTCATTTTTCTTCTTTTTTGATCTCCTTTTTCCTGAAGTCAAATCAGAAATTTATCAATCAATTAACAGCAATTTTCACAAATTTCCAAAGCCCTCTGGCTTTTCAGTAAGGAAAAATTACATACATTTGTATTTATATTAAAGCTGGGGGAGAAAAAATCTTTGAAAATTTGGGAAAATTGACCTAGGGGAAATGGCCTGTGTTTTGTTGAAATTTAAATTTATGAGTATTAAAATATGTCTTTTTATTCAGTGATTGAATTATTATGCATTTGTTGTACAATTTGCAAGGAGACTTGATGAAAAGTTTACAAATATATTATTTTCAATTTCTATTTTTGAAACTTAAGTTCTATATATCCAGGAAATATTTAGATGCAATATACTTTTAGGAACAGGATTATGTTCTTCAGTTGCTGAATCGTTGTTCTTTGTTGACTGGGGGGACCTTTCATTGTCAGGTTGCTTCAATGTTGGTGGATCAATGTCAGTGTTAAGGGCCCAATAGGAACCTTTACATCTGATCTGTGTCACAGAAAACTTGACCTTCTTAAACCACTTCTGGTACAAAGCATGTCGAATTGAGGACTGCAAAAAACTTTTATACATGTAATTCAATGCAAATATCACTTTATTTATGATCCATAAAATTGAAAAAAATTTAGCCATAAAATATATTGGAATGACCCTTTGCTCATGACAAAACTACTCTACCCTCCAGCTGCTGATGCTAGGTTTGTCCATGTATCTGTAATAAGGATACTTGTTCCTGTAAAGACAAAAATAATGATAGTAACAAATATGATATACCATAACAAAACTGAAATTTGAAAAACTATACCCAGTAATTCAGTTAAAATTTCTTCCATGATTTTATTTCATGTTAATTAGAGATCACTGATGCACCATTAAGCATAACTTTACTTCTTCAACTCTTTTTCACGATACTTTCTGATGTGAAAATTATGTGCACATATATGCATCTACATACCATCTCAAAAAGACTGAACTTGTTCAAATGACAAAGGGCCGAGGTCCTGACACACCTTCAGGACATATATAAGTAATATATGTGGGAAGTTAAACTTCCAATGTTTCTCCATTAAAAGGTTATGGACCTGACACAAACTTTACTCTTTTTTCCATCAGTGACCTTGAACTTGCCCAATTGACCTTGAGTCAAGGTCATGACACACCCTCAGGTCATAAATCTTTGTCCAATGTTTCTCCAAAAGAAGATATGGTAAGAATAGAAATTACTGTAAACATTCTTATTTTAGCAGTAATCTTATTTTAGCACACTTTGCACTTCATCTTGTTCGCTAATTTATGTACATGCTCATGTAAAATGTTGTTGTTAAAAATCTAGTGCGCTAATTTAGGATTGTGTTAATCAGTTGAAGAGGACGTTTGTGCTAAAATTTGAGTGCACTAATTTATGTACGTTCACAGTATACAATTTTCTAAAAGTGCCCTTGAACATAACAAAATAACCTTGGGTCAAGGTCCTGACACACCTCCAGATCATAAGCAATCAATGTATGGATTAAGGTATGAACTTTCAATGTTCTTCCATTAAAAAATTATGGACCAGACATAAACTCTACAATTTTTCTACCAATGACCTTGAATTTGACAGAATGACCTTTGGTTAGATAATGGCAAATTTTTAGATCATAAGCAATCTTTGAGTCAAGTATGAGCTTCCAATATTTCTCCATTACAAAGTTATGGCCCAGACACAATTGCACAGATGGATGGACAGCTAGATAGACATGGACAAACAGACTGACAAGGTGATTCCTTAAACCCCTCTAAACTTTGTTGGTGGGGTGGTATAAAAATACTTGTATATGAAAATTAAACTCACTGTAGAGCAGCATAGATCTGGGGGACTTGTAGTAGGCCATCTGGACTGTCCTGTAGTACTTTTGCCACAATTTCCACTAACTTTCTTGATGGCCTCAACAGTCTGGTACCTTATGAAAAATAAGCTATGATAAATATGTTGATTTGTATCTGAAAATGTGAGGTCAAGTTTATGTTACTGGGAACATTTAAAGCAAGATGTGTCTGTGTATGTTCTTTACAAGTAAATCTGAGAATTGCTTAATGCCTTTGGTAATGCCATACAGGATAGAGAGTATGAAGGATAGAAGATGGACATGACCACATTACCAATCACTTCTATGTACGTGGCAGAACAAAATGTAAAATAAAATTAAGCCAATTATAATCTGATATACCAGTAGGCAGCATTTTTGTGTTGTCGTAGGGATCATGAAAATCATGATTTGTAATATAACAACTGTCCATCAGATAGGTCCCCCTCTTCCGTTTTGTTGGCTGGGGGCACTCCTTCACAGATCCATCCACATTTACTACGTAACAAGGTTCTGGACAATATAAGTCAGAGTTTCCAGGCTTCACAAAATGATATATATCTGCAGTTACACTCCTACAAAAGTCTTCTGCCCTCTCGTGTATATCTTTTTCTTCTTTCTGCAAAAATAATGTCCATTTAACCTGCTCCAGGGGGACTATGAAATTCATCGTTAAATTATGATTGATCCCTTTATCCACAGATGCCATGGGCGCTCCCCTTCTCAACTTCTAGCAGAGATCAGCTGGATGTCAGTGAAATATCGATTAACACTATAATGCAGTGGTGCTGGATTATCACTTGCAATTATTTTATTTCAATAAATTAGAATTCCCGAGGCTGCTTTAAAAAACTAAGAAAATGTGAATTGATTGTTCTACGGTAAAGACAAAAACAATTAAGAGTAAGTTCAGTTAGGTTTTAAACTAACACAATTTACTCTTTTTTTTTTATACAAACAGTGTGCAGCTGTTTGTGATATTGGGAATTTCTGGATAAGTAAATTGGGAATTTTATAGGGTTTTCCAAATTGGGAAAGGTCCGTTTATCGGACCCAAATCAGAGAGATTGACGGCCTTGACTCTAATTTATGGGGAGCAGAGCGGACCAAAAACCCTTGGCTAGCGAAGATGGGCAGTTGCAGGCCCTGTTGATTTTAAAGTATAGAGGGGTAGACCTGTATAGACTTATCAAAGTATAAAGGGATAGACCTGTATAGGCTTATCATTTTTTCATTTACAAACTTAAATAGAAAGCACCTACGATAGACGCTACATACATACTAAATTAAAATGGTTCTGTCATTTCAGAATAGAAGCTGAAAATGTTAAAAAATTTATGGGGAATGTACAACAAAGAAAAGAACCTGGGTAAAGATATAGGTGCAACTTAAACTACCTAAAAACAATATGGAAGGTAGGCCTCTCTTATCTGCAACCCCTCCTATCCCACTGCATAAAATTTACTGAGACTTTAACAGAATTTTTATTACATATATAATGCCATTGTGTACCCCCTTAATTTTTGTTTTGATCAGACAGATATTTTATTTTTTGGTTGGCCATTATGTAGGAAAACATGGACACTTCATTCATTCTGTAACAGGGGCTGGGGGTACCCATCTCTTATCTGCAACTTCTTCCATACCACTGAACAAATTCAATGAAACTTTCACAGAATCTTTATAACATAGTGATATTGTGCACCTCCTACTTTTTTGTTTCGATAAAATAGATATTTGGGGGTTCCCATAGCTAAACCTGAATACAGCTATTCTTTCTATAATATTGGGGTACCCCATCTCTTATCTGCAACTCCTCCTATACCAATGAATAAATTTAATCAGACTTTCAAGGAATCTTTATTACATAGTGCTGTTGTGCATTTCCTATTTTATGCTCTGATTGGACATATATTTAAGGTTTCCCATTTCTAAACATGGACTTTGTCATATATACTTATATGGAAGCGGTGGGTATCATTTTGTAAGCTCAATGCTCACACTACCTCTAGTTTCTTTTTATCTTCTGAAATTATTCCGTGGTACAGATTTAAATTCAGAGCATTCCATTATACTAACAGAAAATAACATTAAGAAATGCTCAAACTCTAGTATTGATTTAGAAATTCAGAAAAAAATTTAAAATCTCTAAAGGTATGGTAAAAATTAAATGTTAATTGCTAAAACCTTAATTTCGCATTCAGAATTGTTAATGTCTCCTGGCAACAAATGGAGTGTTCTAGATTAGAATGCATTTAAATGAGTGCAATATGACACTCTTTCTACCTCATTGCCAGGGAATTATCTTAAGTATATCCTTGTATAAATAACTTCTTACTCTGGTAAACAAGAATTTTCCATTGGCAATTTTTTCTTGGATACTTTTCTTTCTCTCTTCCTTCATTTCTTCATCCTCTGATTCATCTGTAATGTTACACAAGGAAAGTGAGTACTGGTAATTATTCAATATGAAGTAGTCATGTGTCAGTTTTAGCAACTGAAATCAGAACCATACATGTCCATGATAAGACAGTGATAAGGAAAATGCTCCCTGCAAGATACAAGAAATGATATAAATATATTTATAGATCCTTTTTTTAAAAACCAAGAACTGGACAAACACAAAACTTGGAAATTTAATGTCATGAAGTTCATTAAAATGTTATTTTTAGTTAATCTCCCAATTGATACTTGAAAAAAAAAACTGAATGCAAGGGACAAATTATATATGCAAGGTCTTGTTTTTGGATACTCAATTTTTCATTGAGACATAGATATGTATTATTATGTGTATGAAGTTTGGTAAAGTAATTTTCTGAATAGAATATTGTAGAGAAAAAATTTATAAATGCAAAATAGGTAATGTGTCACAAAGACGACAATTATTGGGTATTCATGGCTAGTCTTTTTCTGTTGACTAATGAGGAGCAGTCTAGAAAATGAAATCTGCCTTGGTATCTGACAATGAAAAAGGGTAAGTCACTGAACTGAGGCGAAGTTGAAATGCAAGCTCTCAGAAAGGTTATATTTGTGTGTTGAAAGTTTTCCACATATATAGCTCTTTGCAAAATAGCAGTTACTGGGGTAAGTTTACATATATTTGGACTCCCTCAAGGACTAGTAAATCTGCGAAAAATTGTTATTCTTCACAGTCCCAAAATTATTTAAGAACATATTGAGGCAAGGTTACAACATTTTTGGAAACATTATTCTTATTCACCAACATTTATATCACATGTGCAGTGTATATCATAATGTATCTCATGTTGTTAGTGTAGGACGTTACATGAATATTTAATGGAATGGGGGTCTAGGTCAAAAGAAAGGTCAAGATCACAACATTGAACATAAAAAATTCTGACCATTCTGACATGTTTAATGGGTTCTCACTAAAATGCATCAAGGTATGAAGTTGTACAATAAATTAATAGATTAAAAAGTATTTTTAAAAATGAGCCTATAAATGCAAATTCTGTAAGTCAAGTCAAGAGATAAAAATAAAGGACAAATATAAAACAATATATCACCAGGTCATACATACATGACAGGGCATAAAATGTGTTGCATAAAGAAACTGAAAAAGTAAAAACTATAACTTACAATCATCATCTTCATCTATCTGTATCATAGGATCGATGGAATACTGTTGTCTTAGTTTCTTTTTGTCTTTCCTCTTCCTGTACTTTTTTTTGGACTTTATGGATGGGTATACATGGATTCTCTTCTGATCATTTTTTGTGATGATTTTCAGAAAATGCATTTCCTCATCACAATCTTTAACTGGGGTGAGAGTGAAATGCTGACCATTGAATTTTAGCTTTCGTTTGGGCCTTGATCTTTTGGCAAGTTCAATGCGTTTGAATCCATGAAAAGGGGTGGAACTATGAATGTTAATGGACACTGCAGGAATAGTTCTAGTATCATTGGTAAAACTCATTTTGCCTGTAATATATATATTTTTTAAAATGTATTTTATATTTCCCTTCACAAACCAGTGTTCTAAACAATGGAGATGTGCTATACTGCCTTACATGTTTTAAGCCCATGAATTATTGGAACATAATGCTTTTATATTTTACGGAAGTATCAAGAAATATCTTTATTTCTGATCTTGCTATTATTAATAACAAGAGAACCAAGGGCCTTAACAGTCACCTGAGTATAATACAACACTGAAGTATAAATACAACAAAATAAACTGATACATGACGATATGTTGCTCAAAAACAAGAGCTTAAAAGATCAGGGATCACCAAAATAGTTAGTTATAGAACCCAGTAACAAATCATAAAGTAAATTTATTTACTTGCCTGTACTTGCCAGTGCTATTACACTTCCATCTTTGTCACGAACACCATCCAGACTAAACAAAACAATATTGTTTGAGCACATAAACTCATCTCACACCCTCTAATATTGGCTTCTTTTGGTCTTTGAACATTTAATGTACAAAGTTAAGATATTTTTTTCTGATATTTAATGCTTATTATTTCTCCCTAAGTCTCATAAGTCTCCCTAGCCATTAAAAATTTTAAAGTACTTTTTTGTATTATACTTTTTTTTTGGAATTCTTTTATTCAATTGACCTAACAATTACATTATTAACAGTGATTTATTATCATCGATGAATAGCAAAGGGGAATAACTTCTCTTATTAGATTACAAATTTCTCTACAAGATTAATAGAGCCCTGTCCAGCAACAGCACACTTAACTCAGTGTACCAGAATTTCACAAGTAAAAATACCCTTACTCATTACAACTTTGTACTCTGTTTGCCTCTTAGATTTTAAAAGAATTAATGCAATTTTACTTTTTAGTATATAATCAATAGAGTCTCATCTTAATACCAGAACCTCTGACCCAAGGGTCATGAATGTCACAGTATGGAAAAGGCACCCTTGCTCATCAAAACTATGCACTTAGCTTTACTGCTAAATACCCCAGAAGCTTAACTGCTAAATACCCCAGAACAAGAAGATTTCAAAAAACAAATTTGCATTTTTACTATATAATCAACAGAGCCCTGCCCTTACACAAAAAACTCTGACCCAGGGGCATGACATTCACAATTTTGGAAAAGGCACCCTTGCTCATCAAAACTATGCACTTAGCTTAATAACTGCTAAATACCTCAGAACAAGAAGAAGATTTCAAAAAACAAATTTGCATTTTCACTATATAATCAACAGAGCCCTGCCCTTACACAAAAAACCCTGACCCAGGGGCATGACAGTCACAATTTTGGAAGAGACACTCTTGTTTATCATAACCATGCACTTAGTTTGTTTGCATATAATACAGAGGAGTAGAGTCACCCACATAGGGCATTGGTTAGAGTGTTTGCTTTAGAGTTGAAGGAGTCAATCCTTATGTCACTGGTAGGAATCCCACTGTGGGGTGTGGAGACCAGTTCTTTGGATGAGACCATATAAACCAAGGTCCCTGTCACAGTAGATGCTGGCACAAAAAAGATCCCTCACTGCTCACTGGCCCTAAGTGCCAAGTATAGTCTAAATTTGCAGCCCTTCACCAGCAAGTAGATGCATCTCCATATGAGTGAAAAATTCTCAAGAGGGATGTTAAACAACATACAAACAAAACACAGGAGTAGAGATTTTCAAAGAGATAATGCATTTTTACTATATAATCAATAGAGCACTTCCTCACACCAGAACCCCTGACACAGGGCCATGAAAATTCACAATTCTGGAAATGGCAGCCTTGCTCACCTAACCATACATTTAGTTTGTTTGCTAAACAAACAGGGGAGATAAGCTTTTTAAGGATTTTATGCATTTTCACTACACAATCAATATGTCCCCACCACCCTAACTCCATATCTCCTGACCCTGGGGCATGACTTTCACAATTTTAGTAGCTACGTGACTCATTGTATTTTATAATCATGTCAAGAATTCGACTGCTTGATGTCCAGGAGTAATGAAGGAGCTTTTTCAAAATTGCATTTTGATGGTCTTGGTCCCAAAAGTGGGGGGGGGGGGGGCAGGACCCTTGGAAATAACAATTTTTGTCCCTTATTTCCCATAGATGCTCTACTCTAGAATTTGTTAGAATTGGTTTAGCAATTTATTAGAAGGAGCTGAAGGCTGAAGGTCCAAAACAGATTACCTTGGTGACTCAGGTGACACAAGAACCTGTTACGAGATTTATTATGAATTTGAGCAACAATGCCACCGTGAAGTATCGATTTTGATTCCCACATATAAAACTTGATAATTGAAATATACATGAGAGAGACTACAAACTTACATTATTTACAAGCAGCTGTGTATATATATATTACAAAAACAAGATGTTCGTTTCATTCTCGTCTGCAAGAAAAACTCAATGCATATTCAGACACATTGAGAAATCTCATTGGCTAAAACTCTCATGTAATGTGGAAGCTGATTAGCTGCTGTCATCTAGGCTAAAATCCCGCGAAATTCTCATTCGGCAAACTTCGGTTTATTCCGTCATCAAGAAGAAATGAAGTACCTTTTTTGCAATATGATTTCATCACCGATGGAAAACTTTTAAAGGGCTAAAAAAAAATGCTGTTAATTTCTGCATAATGTGAATCTTTAAAAAAGTCTCAAGAAAAGTTTAACAGACATTTCTATTTTTCATTTATATATCGTCAAACCCCCTAATTCCGTCAATACCCTAATTCCGTCAATACCCTAACTCCGTCACTTTCGGGAAACTCCGCGCTATTGTAAACGAATACGATTGTGACGTTAATTTTTACATGCTGAAAATCTACAATCAAATGCTGAGACAGTCAAGTTCAAGAATGCGTCAAAAATAAATAACAATTACACGTGATCTATTGTATCCATCATATTTTATGTGAAGTCAGTAGGCACCTTTCCCTTTAAGCGCTATTCCATCGATACCTCCGACATGTGCGTCAATATGCTCATTTTTACATGTCAGCCATATTTATGAAGGTCTTTGCCAAAGGATTAATATGACATACCATATTGAATACGGCTAAAAAATATTTTATTTTTCGTCTCAATTTTTCCTAAAACACAACACATTGGAGATAACGTTGTGTGAGGTTATATTACATATAAAATACGTTGTATTAACGTTATTTTATCTGTTGTTGATACTTTTCCTAAAATACAATTAAATACTATTTTAAATCTTCAAAACTAATTTTCCATGTTTACAAGTTTAAAATGAAGGGAGAAAAAACTAAACTGGAAAAAATTATAATCAATAAAATTGAAAAAAAAAAATTAAAATTAATACGTTGACATATTGTAGAGCGCCCTGGTGACGGAGTTAGGGTTCATTGGACGTACGTAATGTAAGGCAGTAAAACTCGGTTATAACGAAGTCACTGCATGGGACCTATGAAATTACTTCGTTATATATCCGTAATTCGTTATATCCGTATAAGAAATTCGTTAAATTTATATAGCTTGGGATCCAAGAAAAATTCGCTATATCCGTGAATTCGCTATATCCGTGTTCGTACTAAACGAGTTTTACTGTAGTTTTGTATAAGCCCAGTAACTGAATTTTTTTAAATAGTTCTGAAAACAATGTTTAAGTTCATCACTAAGTGTAGCAAACAAGAAACAAATCAAAAAAAATTCAGATAGAAACCTGGCGTGTTTTCCGCTTTTGGTGACGAAGTTTAGATAGTAGGGGATAATATTGAGGAAAATAACATTATTTTTGAATAATAATTATTCATATTAATTAATAATATATCAATTATTCAACCATCCACTAAAAAAAAAACACACGATTGAAATAAACTTATCCATATCAAAATCAAACAAAATAAATGCTGGAAATGAAATGGGTATTAAATTAGGTTCCCAAAAAAGCGTAATAACGTTAATCGGTTGTGATGGAAAATCAGATTTTTTTTCATAATCGATTATCGGAATAATCGGATGGACTATAATCGATTAATAATGGAATGATTTCAAGTATTAAATTTGTTCATTTTTCAATGAAGAATAAATTGGTAAAAATTATAGATTGATTTCTAAAATACATTTTTGATATATTTTTGTATCACTGAATTCATTTATTATGTTATTTTTTAGAGTTTAGTTAAATTCAAAGAAAAGTGGATCAAATATCATAGGAATAATCTGCTTTTAAATAAATATTTTGATTAATCGATTATCAAAATTATCATCGATTATCTATAATCGATGGCCATTTCGATTATCTAATCGATTAATCGGTACATCAATACTAATCGGGTGTTCAAAAAAATGTAAATACGCGAATCAAAAGGCGTAATATTGCGGAAAAGGGCGAATTTTTTTTGCTTTTTCCTCGTAGTTTAAGGCTAACAGGCTTTTGATGACAGTTATTGGTTGATTTGTTAGTACTTACGTGTAAATATTTCAATTCTGGGTTCCATGACATGGATACTTTTCACCATCACTTTACAGGCACTTAGTATCGTTTTTGAAAGTGGGGAGGGGGGCAGACAAAAAAATACAACTTACCTGTAAAAACTTTAACAAGCAATAAAAGAAAAAAAATTGTCCAAACTCAAAAATTCTATTTCTTGGATGGGGTCGATGGGGAGGGGGGTTCCAACTTTCTTTCACAACCAAATTTTATTCATACAATACCAAATTACCATGATTTAAATATGCTACAACGAAAAGTGGGGGGGGGGGGGGGCACCATTTCATAGTAAAAGAATATATTTGGAAGCATGCCTAGAAAGACATAGGTCTTGGGTAGTTTAAAATCTAATTTTTATGCCCCCGTAATCGAAGATTCGGGGGCATGTAGCTTTTGCCCTGTCCGTCCGTCTGTCTGTCTGTTTGTCCGCAAAAACTTTAACCTTGCCCATAACTTTTGATTGGTTGGAGCTATAGCTTTCATATTTCACATGTGAAAAGATCTTTCTTTCGATACCATTTTGACCTTGACCTTGGACCCACTTTTGCAAAATTTTATGAGACTTTAACCATGGCCATAACTTTTGAACACTTAGAGCTTGGGCTTTCAAACTTCACAAGTGTATTCCTTGTGATCCTTTGGATAACAACATCTTTGACCCTTTGACCCTGGAGATTGACCTACTGTTTAAAAATACTTTAACCTTGGCCATAACTTTTGAAAGTTTTGTGCTAGGTCTTTCGTACTTCGCATGTGTACTCCTTGTGACAAGACCTTCCTTTACATACCAACAACTTTGACCTTTTGACCTTAGAGTTTGACCTACTTCAATTTTGAAAACTTTTAAACTTGGCCATAACTTTTGAACAGTTAATGCTAGGGTTTTCATACTTCACATATGAATTAATTGTGAGAAGACCTTCCTTAGATACCAACAACTTTGACCCTTTGACCTTGACCTACTTCAATTTTGAAAAATGTTAACCGTGGCCATAACTTTTAAACAGTTAATGCTAGGGTTTTCATACTTCACATATGCATTCCTTGTGAAAAGATCTTCCTTTAAATACCAACAACTTTGACCCTTTGACCTTGTAGTTTGACCTACTTTTGTAAAACTTTAACCTTGGCCATAACTTTTGAACAGTTGGTGTTAGGGCTTTCATACTTCACATGTATATTCCTTGTTACAAGACCTTCCTTTGGATACCAACAATTTTGGATTTGACCTTGGAGTTTAACCCACTTTTAAAAATTTTAAACATTGGCCATAACATTTGAACGTTTGGTTCTAGGGCTTTCACATTTCATGATCATGTGTATCTCTTGTGACAAGAACTTCCCTTGGGCACCATTTGACCTTGGCCTTGCCGTTTTACTTACTTTGAAAAAAACTTTAACCTTCGCCATAACTTTTCAATGGTTTGTACCAGGGCTTTTGAATTTCACAGGTATATTCCTCGAGACAAGACCTTTCTTTGAGTACCAACATTTTTGATTTCTTGACCTGGAGTTTGACTTGCATTTGAGAAACTTTAACATTCCCCATAAGCTGCCGACGGGGGCATCAGTGTTTCACAAACACATCTTGTTGAACAATGAAATCCCACAATCTGGAAAAGGGGTGGGGATTCCTTTACAGGGATATGCCACCAGACAGGGTTAGGCCTTTTCTGCATTTGTTTAGAATATGTTCTTGGACAGGGAAATCAAATCTAGTTGAAATAAATGTATGTGACCGATGTTTTGCGGTTATATTAGTACAGTAACAGTGCTGGCAATTTTCACTGGTGGTGTTGTTAAAAGAAATTATATAATTTTACCCCAAAAAAATTACAGATTTTCAATTCTAAACATTAAACAAGAGGCCAATGGGCCACGTCGCTCACCCCAGCACCTTGGCTAGGAAAAAACAGAAATCAGTGCAGTATTGAAAAGTTAAATATAAATGTGGTTGCAATATTTGATCTTCTATTGAATCCTTGCCCTACATTAATATGACTAAACATGGCTTTGCTGTTCTTGAGAAGATTTTTTGCAATATATTCCCAAGTAAAACTTTGATCCCCCATTGTGGCCCCAACCTACCCCTGGGAGTCATGTTCTGAACAAACCTAAATCTACACTACCTGTGGATGCTTCTATATCAGTATGACTACACAAGACTTTGCCGTCTTTGAGAAGATTTTTTTCCTTTTACAGTACTAGTATTCCTTTGTAAAACTTTAATTGCCTATTGTGGCCATGCCCAATCCTCAGGGGTCATGATTTGAACAACTTGAATCTACACTGAGGATGCTTCCATAATAATATGACTAATCATGGCTTTGCTGTTCTTGAGTAGAAGATTTTTCAAGATTTTTTCCTATATATTCTTATGTAAAACTGTGGTCCCACCCTACCCCCCAGATTCATGATTTGAACAAACCTTAATCTACACTACCTGAGGATGCTTCCATATTAATATGACTCAAGAAGATTTTGCTATTCTTGAGAAGAATTTTTGAGATTTTTTCCCATATATTCCTATGTAAAATTTTGAACTCCCAGTGTGGCCCAACCCTACCCCTGGGGGTCATGATTTGAACAAACTTGAATCTACACTACCTGAGGATGCTTCCTTGTCAATATGACTAAACATGGCTTTGCTGTTCTTGAGAAGATTTTCAAAGACTTTTCCCGAATTATTTCCCCTAGGAAGAGGGAGTGGCCCTTTATTTGAACAAACTTGAATCCCCTTTACCTAAGGATACTTTGTGCCAAATTTGGTTGAAATTAGCTCAGTGGTTCTGGAGAAGAAGATGAAAATGTGAAAATTTTATGATGATGACAATGGACAAATTTTATTCAGAAAAGCTCTCTTGAGCCTTCGGCTCAGATGAGCTAATAATAAAACTATGAAAAATATGGCTACAACAATAATTCCAACAAT